GTGAGATTTGCCCAACACTTGGCAAAGCGATGCAAAGCGGAACAGGGTGAGAACTCCAAAATAGGCACACATCATTTTGGCCCTCTGGTGTCAGGCGGTGACCGTCAACTCATCTCGCACGGTGTCCACAGCCAGTTTCTTGCCCACCAAAAAGCCAAGTCCTGGGAGTCTGCCGGCTCACTTCGACATGAGATTCGTTGGAAGTCTGAGTCTGCCGCCCATCAGCATAACATCCTGCAATCACAGATCCGTGGCAAACATGCACGAAATTGGGGGGCCGACTCGGGCCCGTGTGTCCGATTTGCTTGCGGCCAGGTATTGCGAGATTTTCCGCCCAGGTTTGCCGAGCTTTGCCCGCAAACTTTTCCGAATCCGCCAAGTTTTGCCAAGTTTTTCCGTGCAGTTTTGCTGGTTATGTTCGCTTCGCCGAGTCGTTCCAGTCAGTTCTTCCACGTTTGCACTGGCCAGTCTTTCCGAGTTTCCCGTCTTGCGCCTAGTGTTTCCAAGTTTTGCTGTTTCTTTACTTTTGATGTTACGAGCGCCCTGTGCTGGAGTGGACAAGGTGTGGTGGGCGTGGGGCGCTTCAGCCCAAGAGTGGGCATCCCATTGGTTTTCCCGATCCTGCTTGAGGTCCCGAAGTTTGCACGTAGTCTTTGCTTGCAAAAATGGATGCCAGGGACGACTTCGTCCCTTCCGTTCTCGGAACTCGACGCCTTATCCGCTTAGGTCCTTTTTGTGAAAGGCCACCGCGGAAACACTTACAACATTATTTTGCACAAAACCATCTTCCCTTCTTCGGTAACAAAAAACAATGACCTGGCAAACTTCGTTTCCACACTTTCGTCGCCTGCATTTCCGCGTTTAAGCATGGCTTGGGCTTGTGTCGAGCGCAAGGTCTGGGGGGATGTGGGCTCGCTCAAAGGCCTGCGTGGCGTGGAAATCCACTCCGTTATCAGCCTCGTTTGCGCCAAACACAAGATCCTGTAACCTTTGAAGATCTGTGGCTCGATCACCTTCTGACAGCATGGCTGTTTCCCATTTCTGCGTAACCCCAACCCCTTTACTTGACTCAAGTTGCGCCTACGCGCTAGGGGGCGATAAAAGGCGGCAGGAGACCTCAGCGCTAGGGGACATGATAACCGGCCCTCAAAGGGGCGGAGCATGGAAGTTGGACCGCAGTGGCCTCGCGGAGGCTTCGCAGAGGCATCGCGAGAAAAACCGGGCCTGAAACGCACGGAGCTCTTCCGGTCGTCTTCCTGTCATCTGCCCATAGTCTTCCGGTAGTCTGACTGTAATCTTCTTGCAGCTTGCGGCAGCCATCTGAAAGCGACTCAGGCCGTAGCAAGGAGTTAGTATGTGGCCACTCTTTCCCGTCTATTCCTTCTCCAAATTATTAAAGTATGAAAATAGAATGGAGAAGGAATATGAAGGGAAAGGAAGGGGATATGATGGCATGTTTCTGTTCTCTTCCTCATGCCATCCCCTTCATCCCTTTTATCTTTGTCTTTTCGTAATTTGTATATGTCCTTGAGTCTTTATTGTTGACCATCAGAATCTCACCCACACAAGTGCCTTCGCGGACCTTCCCCCCAAAGCTAAAACCCATCATCTGTGAAAAAATCTACTCCTAAGAGGGGTTGCGCTTGGACTTCAGGCTCCATTGGTTTTCCTTGATTTTCACTTTGCTGTTCCGTTGCTTCGCGCTTGGCCCCGCGCGGACGCGAAACGTCGCCATTCGGACCTGGGCCTCGCGCGTGCCGAAGAAAATCAGAAACCCCATTTCACAGGCGCAGGAACGACGTTTGTCATCTGCAGCTTTCCTGGAGCTGCTGGCTCGCAGGCGGGCTTTTGAGAAACCCAAAAACCGTGCGCGGGACAAATTTAAGGCCCAATTCGCCTTGGCCCCCAGGGCCGGGAAGCGGTCAGCCCCTCCGAACCTCTTCGGGATCCTCCAAAACCCGAACCAGTCCAGCTCCGCTAGAAGCCGGTCCACAAGCCCCCTCATCCCGAACAGAAGCAACGCCTCTCAAAACTTGTCACATCCCCTCTCAAAACAGGTCCAACAGAAACCGGCAAAATTCCCCCCAGACCAGTCAAATTTTCTGGAAATGTGCTTTCTGTAGCTCCACCCTCTGCCTTGGAAACCAGCTCACGCATTTCGGCGCCGACTCACGCACTTTAAAAAACACAAGACTTCAAGGCGACTGGCCGAGGCGGGCAACTCGAAGCGTTCACAATAACCCTAGTTACTTGTGCGAGTGTAGTTGAGCGAGGGAGAGTTAAGTGTGTGTGTGTGTGTGTGGTGTGCGTGTGCGTGTGTGAAAGTTGAGTGAGTGAGGCGAGAATGGTGAGAAGGTCAGCGAGCGTGAGTTGAGTGAGTGAGAGTCAGTACGTGTAAGTGAGGCGTGTAAGTTGAGTGAGCAAAAGACAGTGCGAGCTAAGTGCAAGTTGAGTGAGTGAGGCAAGAATGGTGTGAAGGTCGTGCGCGTGAGTTGAGTGAGGGAGAGTCAGTATGTGTAAGTGAGGCGTGTGAGTTGAGTGAGTGAAGCTGGGAGCGTGAGTTAAGTGAGTGAGAGTAAGTACGTGCTATGTGTAAGTCAGCGGGCGCAAATTAAGCGCGTCAGAGTAAGTGAGTAAGTATGCGCAAGTTAGTGAGTCAGAGTGAGAATTGCTAATATAGTTACAAATAGTCAGCAAATGTAGGCTGAGTGAGCGAGAGAAAGTGCGCTTGCCATGCAAAGCAACAAAGGCCCGCGCAAAGTCAGGCGCCTGCCGCGCAAGCCATCTTGCAAAGTACCTCGCTTGCCACCAGCGCGTGTCCCACGGCGCCCAGCTCGCTCAGCACCACGAAGAGCCCGGCCACCGAACCAATCAGAAAAGTACCCTGTCTGTCACGCAATCAAGTCCCAGCGTGTCCAAAGCACTGCGCCTGTCAAGAAATCGAGCCCCCACGTGTCCAAACCGCTGCGCCTGCCCCAATCGTTCTGAGCCAAGCAGTCTAAAGCGCTGCGCCAGCCACGCTAATCGAGCCTTGGCGGTTCGAACCTGTCAGCAAATCGACGGCCGAGCGTGTCCAAGGCACCGCCTGCCACAGACCCCCCGCCCAAGCCGACCGCCTGGAGCGTCTAGAGTGTTGCGCCTGCAATGAAATGAGACCCGCCGCACAAGCCGGCCGCTTCGAACCAACTAGTCTAAAATACCGTGCTTTCTACGCAAAGCCCGAGGGAGTGTAAGTTAAACGCATGAAAGTAAGTCTGTGTAAGGCAGTGAGTGTAAGTTGAGCGAGTGAGAGTGAGAGGGAGAGTGGCTGAAAGCTGGCGAGTGAGAGTAGGTTGAGCGAGTGGCACCCTGCACCCGTGCCCTGGCACCCTGCAGCAGGTAGTGAGAGCATATAAGTTGAGTGAGTGAGAGTAACAGCGGTTGCAAGCAAGTATCAAGTATGTGTAAGTGGAGTGAGAGAGAGTAAGTGTGTAACTTTCGTGAGTCAGAGTGAGAGCAGTCAGTGAGCGTAAGTTAAGTGAATATGTTCAAATGTAAGTTGAGTAAAAGTGAAGGAGGCGGCGGAGGAGGAGCAGAAGGAGGAGAGAGCGGCGCGGACGAGGACATTACGCAGAGTAAGAACAATCGTTGTTCTGAAAGCTCCAATGTTCGTGCCAGCTAGGCCTCGAAGGGGCGCTCGTCATGCGCACCCCCAGGAACCTGGACTGCGCATGGATGAGCTGCTTACTGCTTACAGAGCCCACTGTTAATCGTCACTGACCAAAAGAACTGACAATGACTGGACACATGACACCCCATACTGCCTATGCTTGGCAAACTTGCATGTGCATCTACGCATCATCGAATACCTGGAAACGAAATGAAACCAGCTGCACCTTGTAGTTGGCGATGGACTCAGATGGACCAACCCCAGCCTCTGCTTGTTACTCGAAAACACGCAATCTGAAATCTCAATAGTTGACAAGTTGACCCAGACTTCAGTCAAAGCAGACTGAGCAAACAGGTTCAGAGGCCTGTGCCCAAGCCATCTCATCGATCGGAGTGACAAGGTCGAGGCCAATGCCGTAGGCGCTGTGCTTGCCGCGCTGCCTGGGCGTGTCTTCTCGTCGCAATCGGTCGAGTTCCACATTGCTCCTAAGTTGCCCGCATCTCGAAGGTAACATCGGAATCGAAGACTACTTCCATCCGTCGAGCCTTCGGAAAAGCGCGAGGGGAGAAATGAGGCATGCCCACTGACAATCCCAAAGCCTGTGACCAAGACATGCCCGAGCTTGAGTTGTGCTTCGCCAACTGCAAGTATGCGTCGTACAAGCCTGCAGCACAACCGCAACTCCAGGTGTGTCAGCAGCATTTAGCTCTTGCACCTCGGGTCATGGAGGCGCCGGTGGTCCCAGTGTCAAAGATTGCCAACACCTCGCATGGCTGCCGAAGGTAGAATTCTATGGGCGAAAACCGGTTTGATTTGGCAACTAGAAATCGGCCTTTCTCGGGGACACGTTATTTGTCGCTGCGATGGCCTCGAGTGCCGGAGTACAAATGCGATGCGTGTAAGACATTGACAAGTGGCCTGGCCAGCGATGCGGACTGTCGCCACGGCACAGTAGTGCTTCACAGGATCACCCCACCTGCATTGCTTGACAAGAGGACAGAAGGTGGCTGACAAAGTTCAGGATTTTCTGACTGCAGCTGTACAGTGAGTGGTTCTCTTTTAATGAGTCTGGATGCATTGCGACATGTCTTTCCACTTGTCACAACTTTCACACACGCCTCTGTGGATCTTCCAACTTGATAGTCCGAGAAGCCTCGCCTTTCCAGCCACATTCAACCAATTCAAGGCTCTTGCCAGCTGGTCTATCCATCCACGGCTGGTGTTGACTTTTCTGAGTACTAGCCGGGAATGCCCCTGCAGAAATTGTTGCTTCCTTCGCTTAACCACTTGGCTCAACGCTTGAACATGCGGCCGGCCTAAAGCGACAGGCTTTTCTGCTGCAAGTTCAAGA